GTGTTGGTGGTGTGGGTTTCGATGACCGTGTTGGTGGTGTGGGTTTCGATGACCGTGTTGGTGGTATGGGTTTCGATGACTGTGTTGGTGGTGTGGGTTTCGATGACCGTATTGGTGGTGTGGGTTTTGATGAGCGTGTTGGTGGTGTGGGTTTCGATGACAGTGTTGGTGGTGTAGGTTTTGATGACCGTGTTGGTGGTGTGGGTTTCGATGACTGTGTTGGTGTTGTCGGTTTCGATGGCCGTGTCGGTGGTATGGGTTTTGATGACCGTGTTGGTGGTGTGGGTTTTGATGACAGTGTTGGTGGTGTGGGTTTCGATGACTGTGTTGGTGTTGTCGGTTTCGATGGCCGTGTCGGTGGTATGGGTTTTGATGACCGTGTTGGTGGTATGGGTTTCGATGACGGTGTTGGTGGTGTGGGTTTCGATGACCGTATTGGTGGCGTGGGTTTTGATGAGCGTGTTGGTGGTGTGGGTTTCGATGACGGTGTTGGTGGTGTGGGTTTCGATGACCGTATTGGTGGCGTGGGTTTTGATGAGCGTGTTGGTGGTGTGGGTTTCGATGACCGTGTTGGTGGTATGGGTTTCGATGACGGTGTTGGTGGTGTGGGTTTCGATGACCGTATTGGTGGCGTGGGTTTTGATGAGCGTGTTGGTGGTGTGGGTTTCGATGACTGTGTTGGTGGTGTGGGTTTCGGTGTCCGTGTTTGTGGTGTGGGTTTCGATGACTGTGTTGGTGGTATGGGTTTCGTTGACTGTGTTGGTGGTGTGGGTTTCGATGACCGTGTTGGTGTTGTGGGTTTCGATGACAGTGTTGGTGGTGTGGCTTTCGATGACCGTCTTGGTGGTGTGGGTTTCGATGACTGTGTTGGTGGTGTGGGTTTCGATGACAGTGTTGTTGGTGGGGGTTTCGATGACTGTGTTGGTGTTGTCGGTTTCGATGGCCGTGTCGGTGGTATGGGTTTTGATGACCGTGTTGGTGGTATGGGTTTCGATGACCGTGTTGGGGGTGTGGGTTTTGATGACCGTGTTGGTGGTGTGGGTTTCGATGACTGTGTTGGTGTTGTCGGTTTCGATGACCGTGTCGGTGGTATGGGTTTTGATGACCGTGTTGGTGGTGTGGGTTTTGATGACTGTGTTGGTGGTGTGGGTTTCGATGACTGTGTTGGTGGTGTGGGTTCCGATGACCCTGTTGGTGGTGTGGGGTTCGATGACCGTGTTGGTGGTGTGGGTTTCGATGACCGGGTTGGTGGTATGGGTTTCGATGACTGTGTTGGTGGTGTGGGTTCCGATGACCCTGTTGGTGGTGTGGGGTTCGATGACCGTGTTGGTGGTGTGGGTTTCGATGACAGTGTTGGTGGTGTAGGTTTTGATGACCGTGTTGGGAGTGTAGGTTTCGATGACCGTGTTGGTGGTGTGGGTTTCGATGACTGTGTTGGTGTTGTCGGTTTCGATGGCCGTGTCGGTGGTATGGGTTTTGATGACCGTGTTGGTGGTATGGGTTTCGATGACTGTGTTGGTGGTGTGGGTTTTGATGACCGTGTTGGTGGTGTGGGTTTCGATGACAGTGTTGTTGGTGTGGGTTTCGATGACTGTGTTGGTGTTGTCGGTTTCGATGACCGTGTCGGTGGTATGGGTTTTGATGACCGTGTTGGTGTTGTGGGTTTTGATGACCGTGTCGGTGGTGTGGGTTTTGATGACTGTATTTGTGACGTGGATTTTATTTGTCACTACACGGGACACTTATAATCATCTACACCTACTCAAACTTTCTACGTACAAATAACTAACAGATAACTCACAAATAACTCACAGATAACTCACAGATAACTCACAGATAAATCACAGATAACTCACAGATAACTCACAGATAACTCACAAATAACTCACAGATAACTCACAGATAACTCACAGATAAATCACAGATAACTCACAAATAACGACTAATGACGCTATCGATAAAGATAATCACCATGACCTATAATGTAAATTTTAATAAAGCAGTAACGAACAGCCGTTCAAACGTCTCACATGATATGATCCAAACCATAAACAACATGAATACCCGTTTATAGTAACAGGGCGCGGGTCTAATATATTTCGTCATAAAAACCTCCAACGAAACAATTATCTTAAAATGTCGGAAAGGAAAAAAAAAATCATGAATCAACAAATGTTTGATTATTTTTCCGTCATGCCATGAAATTGACTGCTCTCCACGTATTGATGGGGCCAGCCAGGGATCAGTAAGAACCTTCACAGGTTCGCAAGAGACCACCTGTGCGTGTTTGTCCACAGCTTCCTTATAGTTTTGGCCGTCATATATAAGATAGGGAATCATGGTTCATGTGTGAATAAAAAAAGGAACTTTATTTATTAGCGTTTATAACATTCAGAATAGTTTTCGTGAGAACAAAGTTAATGTATTAATACTAAGTATATGTACTTCAAACGGTCGACTTTGTGTGGCCCTTTGATCTGGGGTCATTTTCATACTTTGTAATATATCTCTTTATAGAAATCTTTAAGTATACGTTTACCTATTACTTGTAGCTGGTATAGACAACCACATACTATTCCAAGTGTTATCTAACGTGTAATCGGTTGAAATTGGCCTCACCCCTTACGGTGTCTGTTCCTCCGCCCCCGCCACGGAAAGCACAAATGAAAGGGTCGATAACTATACATGCTTTTTCGGACATGCTTCACAGCTTTTGCGTGTTTCCTATGAAGGTCACTCTATGAAATAGTTTATCGTTTTCTGGGGCGTGTTTACTGTGAAAATCACTTATTTGACATAGTTGATACTCGGGTGTGGCAAGCCAAGTTGTCATTTATTCATGGAGCAATGTTGATCCAGTACTTAACCAAATTATATAAGATATCTCATATATTATATAAGATATCTTATAAATTATATAAGATATCTTATAAACATGTAAGATATCTTATAAACATATAAGATATCTTATTTTAAGTTTACGAGATATCTTATATCTTTTATAAGATATCTCATATATTATGTAAGATATCTTGTAAAAGATATAAGATATCTTATAAAAGATATAAGATATCTCATAAACCTTTCTTTATAATATATCTTATATCTTTTATAAGATATCTTATATAATATATAAGATATCTAATACCTTTTATAAGATATCTCAATTAATTTTCTTTATAAGATATCTTACATATTATAAAAGATATCTTATATAAGATATAAGATATCTTATAAAGAAAAGTTTATGAGATATCTTATAAAGAACGAGACTCTCGCGAGACCGACAAAGAAGAAATGTTTGAAAATGACTGCTCCCGTTCACGAGTCCGATAAACGGGAGCTGTGTAAAACTAGCTTTGCGCCCGTACAGTTTGGTATTTTTCAACAGGAAGTATAACTTACACCAATATAAAATTTTAGTTGATATATTTAAATATTAATTATTATATTTACGCGTAAATTTTAAAAGATTAGTGTTAGGAAGCACACATTAATATATTCTAAAATGGCTGGAATAATCCAGAGTTATAAACTTTTTCGAAAGAAACTCGAGTGTTCCAAAGAGCCATTGAGAACTTAAAAATGTCTGTGAAGTTGCTACATGTTTAATTATTCAAATGACAATTTAGTTTTGTTGGCCTTAAAGATAAAGGTTCAGATATAGTTCTTATTAGTGAGAATCACTGTCATTTATTAATCTGTTGTACGTCATTTTCAACCAGAATGTGGCAGATGAAAGTACATCTGTAGTTTGGTGAGGATTTATTTTGTGACGGTGTTATGATGCCAAACTCGGTAAGAGCGCAGAAATATTGTCATAATCAGTCGCCATATACTCAAATATAAAGTGAGATTTTAAAATTCATCTTGATTTATGTTATTTTTCGTACACAGCCTCGTTGAAGAATTCTAGTTTGGTTTGAATTGGGGAGTGGGAGGGGTTTGGTTTATATTATTAATGAGGTCTTGTTTTATAATTGATGTCAGAAAGCTGAGTTAGTTGATTCAACATTTATCATTCACATCACTTGTCTTCTTTGTTGTAAGCAAAATTTATTGATTTCTGCTGATTATCCTGTGTTATAAATTCATGGTTTAAAGTTTGTGTTCATGTATTTTGTGAGTTAACAGGTAAAGGACATGTACAACTGTTCAGTGTTCTTCCAAACCAATCAAATTAGTTAACCTACCCTCAGTGAGTCGCCCACCCCAAGTAGCTTGTTTAGATTTTGTCCCATTTTTCAAAGACTGTCCTATATGTTAATTTAGACCTGGTGGTATAGAATCTTGCAATCTACCAGATATAAGCAAATCTAAAATACACGAAGAATATTTATAATGAAATACAATTTATTATACCCAGGACATTAACTGCTTATTTTTACATTTGATCTAACTTGACCTCTCTAGGTTAATTTTAAGTCCAAGAAAAAATTCATAATAAAATATATTTATACTATATATGTGTACATATCACTATAGCAAGGTTATTTTATTATATTAAATTAATCTCATCATCTTTATTTATGAAAAGTGACTGGCACTAGATCATAAACTTAGGGAACTTAGATATAATTTCAAAAATGAAGAATGTCTTGTATTTCAGTTCCTTTTCCAAATGAATTTTATCACTCAGGGGAGCATATGGTACAAATAGGACTTTTCCCCCAAAGTTTGAAGCAGATTCCAAGAGAAATTTTCAGTTTATTGATACATGTGCTAAACATTTGGGTTCAAGACTCAAAAACTTGTGGATAAGTATTGTATAACTCTTTTTAATAATAACATCTAGGATAGATATTTCAGCCCAAAAACCAATATATTTTTTTGATACAGAACAAATTCTGTTTGAGAATCAACTGTTTTGAACAGGGTTTTTTTAAAAATATATAGCACCGACACTCAATCCATAATGATATGAAATATTTGAAATTTGAATTTTTCTATAGTGCATAATTCCATAACCTTAAGTCTATAGGGACATGTCAAATCCTACCAGGTACTCGTTTATATATACAATGGAAGATATTATATATAATGAATGGGCATCACAGTATATATATATTTTGCTGCACACTTAATAAGCATGTGACATGTCCCTGTAACCCACATCTAATCATAGGTAAGTAGTGGGATTATTAGTGGAAGCCAATATCAACACATCCAACTAATACAGTACTTTAAAACAAGAGCCCCATGGGCCTAACAGGTCACCCGAGTTGTAATGCAATTGTTATTTGTTGTTGTGATATGTCAAAAATAAAAAAAATACATATATATTTGTATGTATAGCAGGGAATTTTGCCCCTCCCCAGGGAGGAATTGGTACCAAGGGGTTGTGAAATTCACATTTTGATTAAGCACATCAGGATATTTCCATCCATGAGAAGGTTTTCAACATATCTGGATCTAGAAGTAGACAATTATTGTTTGAGCTATTTTGGCCCCTTTTGGCTCCGCCCCTGAGGCCCTTAGCGTCCACATGATCACAACTCCAACCAAGTATGAATTTGTTACTACTGAAAGTGAATAAAACAGATCTTGAAAAGTCTTATTTCCATAAACTATAGCAAAATGTATCCCCTCCC